CCTTGAGGTTCATTGCTGCAGATATCATCCGCCTCTATTAGTCTCCCTGGTTGGCCTTCTCTTTCCAGTTGGTAACACGAAGAGTTTGCAGGTCTGTCTGGATATTATATCTCCATCGTCTTCTTGGTCTCGCTCGTGGTCTACGACCATTCATCTCCTTGGTGTATACAGTTTTTACTTCTCTGTCATCTAACATTCTTTCAATATGCCCCAACCATTTCAGTCTGGTCTGGTAATCTGGTAATTTTTAATTTCAGCTTCATAGCAAACGGGTCATCCCATCTTTGCTCCGCTCCCGTGCCAACGAAAAACACACAGAATGTTTATCACAGTCCCTTGTGGAAAGACAAACTGCTGTGTCAGCAAATCTAGCATACACTAGCATTAAAAGGATATGGTAGCCATCCGAAGTGCTAACACAAACAGTCTGACGTTAGAAGTCACCAAAAGATCAGCAGTTGCACACGCGATCAATTTTAATCAAATAATGGCCTCACCAATATTGAGACACCCGCATCGCGTCATTTTCTGAATCTACAAATCACACCACCACATTGGTCAGTCGAAAAAAATTCCAAATGAAATCCACAGCTCACAGTGTCACGCCATGCACTCATCTCAGAAGCTGGGTAACGAAACTATATACTTCCAGTCTACAAAGTGATCAAAAAAGCAACGGTCACAGTCTGGCAGAAGCAAAACAGTGGCAGTGCCTAGTGTTCATTTGGACCTGAAGCATTTTGTGAGGGTTAATAAACTGTCACCCCAGCAGTACCCTACTATTAGCTGGGGAAGGAATTTCAGACATTACATCCACCAGCAAGCATCGCCCCAACAAAGACCTGACTGCCTTCGTTAACGACTGTTCACCCAACAGCCATGCAGTTCTTTGGCACGAAGGAGACACCTTGAACTTGACACCTTGAACTGCCGACTCCCTACACGAAGATATATGTGTGCTACTGGTGTCCCGTAGCCAAAATACTAGCTCACTGTATTACTAAAATTCATCACGCTTACTCAAACGCACAGTAGTTAACACACACACACACACACACATATACATACACTCATTACCTGCCACCCGCTTGCTTGCTGGTGCAGCACACATGACTACATATTTATATAAGTATATATATATATATCGGGAGAGGGAGATGGTGCAAATTCCCGCGGCGGTAGACACAGAAGTAAGGGAACTGATAGATCAGCATTCAGACCCAGAAGATACCATCATCTACACAGATGGATCTGTGAAGCGCGGATCAAGGTCAGCATGGGCATACACAGCGCAAAGAAAGGGGAAAACAATACATGAGGACAGCGGCGCTTACCAGACAACCACGTCAAGCATGACAATGGAAATAGCCGCTGCTTCTAGAGCTTTAGCATGGGTATCCGAGCAAACCGCCACACAGGTAGTAATTGTCTCAGACTCAATGAATATGCTTCAGAAGATAGCAACAGGCAGTATGCGCTCTGAATGGATAGAAAGCATCAGGAAATCGCACTTAACCTCCGTAACCTGGATCTACACACCGGGTCATGCGGGCGTGAAGGGAAATGAGCGAGCAGACCAACTGGCAAGCACTGCACTAATGATTGCAGGAAAAAGTATGGACAGAGCAGACATAGTCAACGCTGTACGAACCGGGCTAGTGGAGAATGAGGAATCCCTGACACTAACACGATTGCGTGACATGGGAGTTAAGCATGGTGATGCACGTCTTTGCCGTCTTCGAGGCCGAGAAAGGAGACAATATAACCAGCTTCTCATGGGGACAATTAGTAGAAGTACTTTAGAGTGGCTGCTGCTTCGGAGAACTGAGCACGCATGGGTATGCCCAATGTGCAGTGACATTAATTGTGATAACAGAACATAAAATAACATCTTAGTAGGGAGTCAGCAGTACGAAACCCAAGTTCAAGGTGTCTCCTTCGTGCCAAAGAACTGCATGGCTGTTGGGTGAACAGTCGTTAACGAGGGCAGGCAGGTCGTTGTAGGGGCGACGCCTGCTGGTGGATGTAATGTCCTAAGTCCCTTCCCCAGCTAATAATGAGGGTACTGCTGGGGTGACCGTTTATTAACCCTCATATAATTCTTCCGGTCAAAATAGACGCTAGGTACGGCCACCTTTTTTTTTTTTTTTTTTTTTTTAAAGCCGTGGCAAATATTTTTCCAGACGGTGGCCGTTGCATTTTTGCTCCATTTGTAGACTGGAAGGATGTAGTTTCGTCGCCCAGCTTCTGAGTTGAGTGCATGGCGTGACACTGTGAGCTGCGTTTGTTTTTCGTTGGCACAGGAGCGGAGCAAGTGTGGGGTGACCCGTTTGCTATGAAGCTGAAACTAGGATTACCAGATTACCAGATTACCAGAGACAAGGGAAGAATCATGCAGAATGACCACACATATGTAAGACACTGACACAGGGAATTCCCTATGCACACAAGGTCGGTATGACTGGCTCCAAGAAGAGGACAGTAAATTCAAATGACTCAGTCAGTTTAGACAAAGTCCTTGCTGTGACAGAAAGTTGGCTGTAATAAAGGACTGCCGTAGAAAGGTGCACCCAAGGGACGGTTTCAGAAAGAGATGCATACTTTGTGGTAGGGTAACAATGCTTGAACAATGTATTCTGCACGCCATCAGGGGTTGCATTCACATTTTCTAGGTTCTGACAATAGTAATACACTCGCGATGACTAATAATAATCATTAACAGCTCAGCCAATACATACATAAATCGGCGTAGACAGAAAGAGAGAGAGAGAGGGGGGAATCACCGCGTAGCTAATTACAGCAAATGTATAGCGTTCATTGAGTCTTCTGTTTCGATATCCAAACGGGCTTGTTGTCAACCAAACAGTTTTTGCGTGCATCGATCAAGGCCTGAGAACAGAAAATCAAGTGTTGTGTCTCTACATTCATTTCTAGGTGTCCACGGGGTCACAGATGGGACTGTTGTAGCAGGGTAGAGGCTTGTGGACTTGAATCCTGCAGGTAAATGGGGTGCTTAGAGAATGTCGTGTTCTCAGGTGTATCTGGTGTAGCCTGATGAGAAAGGTGAAAGGTGAAATATTTAAAAGAAGAGAATTCCGAGTGTCTGTAATTATTTCTTCTTCCATTCGTGAACCCGCCTGCGTCAGAACAAACGTTGCTCAATTAAACGGCGTCTAGGTGTCCGAAGGAACGGTTGATGGCCTGGTGTTCAAACAGTTTCATATTCCATGTTTTACTGGTGTAAGATTTATTGTCCTCTTTCTGTCTCACACAGATAGTAGCGGGCAAGTCGCCTTTAATAACCGTTGGAAATACCGCGCGTATAATGTTTTACGTAGTATCATTAGAGAATGGAATGGTCCGGATGCCTATAGTTCGGTGAGTGAGTCCAGCAGCCAGCGTTTTCTTCTCTCTTCATTTCCCCAGCATTACTATATTCTGAAAAAAGCTCAGTCCTGTCGTAGTCACACATGTTTTGGTTAGCCAGTGTTCTGGGTGGTGATAAATCTCAGTGTTTGTATAGTGTGACACTTGCGGGATGTCTCTCGGTTAGCCAGTGTTCTGGGTGGTGATAAATCTCAGTGTCGCGGACAAAACGCCTTCTGACCTTCGCGTCCGTGGTTCATGTGTCTGTATCATCGGCACATTTCCGCTCAAAATATGTTTGAGAATGCTACAAAAACCACATTTGCATTCAATCATGACATCTTATTGCGTGAAACAATATTTCACTGCACGTCTCAAGGAATAACGATTACAACGATAGTAAAAACGTCGCTAGTTCACAGGCACAATTAGAATAAAAAATCCAAATAGTAAGAGCTAGGAAAAAACACGTCCTCTCAGTAGGAAGTCGGGTCGTCATCTCTATTAGTCTATTAGCTCTCATGATGACAGAGTGATCAGTGGTGATTTAAACAGATTATGAATTTCGTTGTTGCTTCTCACTCTCCATTCACCGCTGTTTGCATCTTTGATTTGTCAAAAGATTCGTCGTAAGTTAACATTTTTATTTCAGTCATGTGATGTCCTGGTACAGACTATCGGAGATTCGAAGATTCGCGACATTTCTTATTGTATTTGTTGTCTTCCTAAACGGATCGTGACTTCGATAAACCAAGGCCCTCTGTAATTTATGTTAATCTATTAGAATAAATGCGGGACATAAAACAAAAACCCGCCACTGATACCAAGTGATTCAGACTGTTCAGAAACTACTTGAGGACAGACAATAGAGAGGATAAAGACCTAGTTCTGTCTGTGATAGATTTTATTACTTTTACCGATTACCACGTCATCCAAAAAATAGAAAGCATCTTATGGCATCGCAAATATAATAGTAACTGGAAGAAAACATACCCACTGCTCAAAAGATCTTCAGACGGATCAGAGGCAGCATACTGCAAACTGTGTCAAATTATGAAAAATCAGAAAAACAGGATGAAAACTCCGTCAAAAAGCCAGTTACAGTTTATTACAACAAAGACTCATAGACAAAGAAATGATAAAGTTAAAGGCAGCAGAGTTGCAACTTGCAGCAGGCATGACCTGCTATTGTGCAATACGTGAAATCATGAGGGCGCATGGTCGGGGGAGTACACGGAAGCACATACAGTTGCATAGAACTAAATGTTTATGCCTAATAAAAAATATTATATCGCCTGCACTTAAGGATGACCTTAATGATGATTTTCGGAACAAGAAATATGCCATCATTATAGATGAGTTGCACATACTTCATCCCATCTGAGAAAAAGCTTAAAGATTTTACATCTCAAAAGGTTTACGCTGTATCTTCCAATTGTTCCAGTGAGGATGACAATGAAGAATTTAATCTATAGCTTTTGATGTGAAGTGGGCACAATGTTATACTTTATTTGGCATTTTCTGGCCTATTTTTGAAAATAGTTTGGCATAAAATAAAGTTTTTTTTTATCTGGCAACCCTGGCTGTAGTCAAGAAAAATATGTCTTCCGCCTTTCTGGACTAGACAATTTAGAATGGCTACTGAGGGCGACTGGGTTCATTCTAACTTGCAGGAAGACGATCACATCCACCCTTACGGTTCAACCAGTACGAATAAAAATATTTCCGTGGCAAAAATACGCAATCAAGACGATGCGGAAATTCAGCTTCGTGATTTCAAAGTAAGTAACTGAAGAAACTCTTGGATTTTCCACAATATTTTGGAATTTTGGCACCATCTGAACTGGAACTCTTGGCCGGCTGCTAAAGATGAGGAAATAGCACTTATGGGAAATGTCCCGAGTGCTGTGATGTCACTTCTCAGCTCACATTCAAATAATTTTCTGATGGCCAGTTTTATAAATAATATTTGCAATAGACAATAACTAATAATAATAATGTGAAGTAGAAGTGAAGTAAGCAAGGAAACCATTTTCCACGCCTTTCAGGCTTAATGGGTATATAGGGCTAGATCTATATTTTATAGAGCAAACGGCATTTGGTGGGTGATGTGGGCACCATCACGCCGGCCGCCTTTAGAAGTAAGGTAATTGTAGAATTTTCACATTTGTGGGAATATATCCAGTGCAGTAGTGATCTCAATTCCTAATTCATTCACTTATTCACAGCAATGTTATTAATATTATTATTAATATTATTATGTTCAACCCTCATATATTTATAATTGTGATATTAAGTCTTCATTGAATTCTCAGAGTATATTAGTGTATATTTGTTATTTTATATATCCTGTAATAAAAAAATTAAAAAATTTAAGACAATTATGGAATATGTATTATTGTTTCAAATATTGCTTTTTTTACACCGTTCTGAGTTGTGCTTCTTCTTTCTGCTGCTTATGTCCCTTGGTGTCGCAGTTCATCCTACGATCAGTAGCCGAGCTATGGCGCACTTAGTTGCTTGATATGCTATGATGTTATGCGGTCTCAAGATGTCAGTGACTCCTTCAGTCCATATTCTTCTCGGTCTTTCCCTGCCTCTTGGTGTTTCGATTTGTAGGTTATATGCTCTTGCTGCTGGCATCGTTAGATTGCCAGACCATTTCATTCTTTGCTTCTCAGTAAATTCGAGGAGGGGTGTTGTTCTAACACTTCTGCCACTTGATCTCTTCTGGTTTTATTCACAGCCGTTCTCAAACATCTCATCTCGCATGTGCTTAGTTTTCTTTCTTGTTCTTTTCTCAACGTCCAGGTCTAACATTGGTAACCTAAAGTCAGTATAAATATTACATTTATAATTTTCATAATTATCTGATGATGCTTTACCACTAAAAAAAAAAAAACATGTCACAGCTATTGACAGTAACCTAATCTTGTCATAGTTTTTCCCATTCAAAATCTTTGTAATTTAATAAGTAAAATTGCTTTAATTGCTTACAAGAATACCAGAGGGTTCAGCCAGTCAGTTGACATTTTTTTTTTATCTGGATCACCAATAGTTTATAGGTATATAGGCTTTCCCGTCATCTGAAAAGAAAAAATACCATCAAATAACTGCCATTCTTCTTGTTTTTTTTAAATAGAAAATGCCATCAGATAACTATGTGCTTTTTTTTTTAAACAATAATTTTTTATCTTTCTTTTTTAGGGCAGCAATTTTCAGGAGCCATTGATTATCCAGAATGATGGTCATGTAGGCAAGTAAGTGACTCGACCGATGAAGCAATCTGACTCATATGTCTCTTGTGCAGTCTTTCTCAACCGTTTTACACACGAGGCCCACCAAAAACTGGGGCAGTTGTTCCATGGCCCTCCATAACATGGGCGTTTGTTCCGTAGCCCCCAAAACAGGGAGAGTTTTTTTCCATGGTCCGCCAAATCAGGGGCAGTTGTTCCAAAGCCCATCTGACAGCTGACCAAATACAGAAACTCTGACAGCTGACCAAATACAGAAACTCTGACAGCTGACCAAATACAGAAACTCTGACAGCTGACCAAATACAGAAACTCTGACAGCTGACCAAATACAGAAACTCTGACAGCTGACCAAATACAGAAACTCTGACAGCTGACCAAATACAGAAACAAAATCAAATGTTAAGTGCTCATTCTGATATATGTGGCAGAAGTGCTCATTCTGATATACGTGGCAGAAGTGCTCATTCTGATATACGTGGCAAAAGTGCTCATTCTGATATACGTGGCAGAAGTGCTCATTCTGATATACGTGGCAGAAGTGGTAATTCTGATATACGTTGCAGAAGTGCTCATTCTGATATACGTGGCAGAAGTGCTCATTCTGATATACGTGGCAGAAGTGCTCATTCTGATAAATGTGGCAGAAGTGCTCATTCTGATATACGTGGCAGAAGTGGTAATTCTGATGTACCTGAATGGAGTGTTAATTTTGATGTACGTGGCTGGAGCGTTAGTTCTGATATATAATCACATTTATGCATTTGATTTCTCTGTTTTGGTTTTTATTATTGACATGACTAAGAAAATCTCTCTCACAAATAAGACACCGCACCCCCCCCCCCCCCCCCCCCCCCCCCCCCCCCCCCCAAATTCCAATATTCGTTTTCTAGGATAACTAAAACTTGAGCAATGATTGTTTGGACACAAGAATTTACATCAGAAGACAACTCAGTCAGTTTTCAGCTAACGTCAGTATCGTTATTAAGGATACCAAGAATGTTAAGCAGAAGAACACAAGTGAGGTCATGATCACAGTTTAAAGACAAGCATGCACCAAAGAGGAGCAGCATTCTGTTATTTGCGTTTTGATCAGTGAACTGGCGAAACCTGTAGAAATTCATCACCGAAGAAATACCTATACAGTAATGCTTGCCTATCAGTCCAGCCAGTATATTAGTGGAGTAGATCTTTTCAAAATAATCAGGGGTCACTTCTCAATGAGCTCTACCCAGTTCAAGACTGTCCATCACTGAAGCCACACTGTTTTAAAACTTCTTACTTCACTTCTCTTACCTTTTTTTTAAAGGTTTCACCTTGTTATTTCTGTTCATGTTTTCTTTTTTTTTTCGTTAAAATATTTAAAGGGTGTTTAAAAGTTACAGGATTACCTTTATTGCACCAGGTTATATCCCATATGGTCCAGCCTCTCTGTGAGATTGGCTGCTCACCTGCCAAGATGTAAAACCGAACGAAAAGTAGATCAGCGAACTTTACAATGTGACAAACGCAAATGGAAAGTGAATGTTGTGGCTACACAGCCTTCATCAGCAAATTGGATAAATCAAACAGAATCACATGATTACACAAAATCACTTAACTGGCGTATTCCACAGAAGCCACGTCGATGACTTGCCAGTGGAATGAAGCGACACTGCGGCCCAAGAATTTCACCTGCAAAGAGTGTTGCATTATGTATTAACTCTGCAGCTCCAGCAACTACCCTAAACACTTGTGCTAGCAAACTGAAAGATGGCATTTTTTTTTTAAACCATGTAGGTTCCAGGGTCCCATTATAGGAGAATGAAAAACAGCCCCCCCCCCCCCCCCCTTCCTTTTCCTCCAATCCCAACAGGCATGTTGTAGTAGTCTGTGAATCAAAGATGTTTCCTTCGTAGTCAGAGTGCCTGAAATGTGAGGAATCAAACGTTTGCATATAAATAAACCAGATATGTCAAATGGATGTGCACACAAAACTCAAGTTCTGCAACAAGACTAGTTTACAGTCCTCACTGTGTGCCTGTCAGATAGGACCACAAACACCTGAGCACATTCTGCAGACCTGCCCACTCTGCCTACAACTTTGAAAATGAACCTGGCCTCAAGAGCAAAGTGTATGGGAGCAAGCTGTGGGGAACCATGAATGACCTGCTGCTGACATAGAGGCAACCCACCTGACGGTCTGATCTAAGCATACGAAACCAAACACAGAGAAGAAGAAGAAGAAAGAACAAAACTGAAGTCCAGGGGTAGACAAACAATCAGAACCTGCCAGAGTTTATAGCCGGGAAAAGCGAAAAAGAAAAGGAAGAGAAGAAACACAATTTACAACATGCACCTTGCAAGACGAATAGCTTAACCTGTTCACCATAGAGGGGGGGGGGGGGGGTGGGGAAGGGGGGGTGTGCCTCCATTTTGAATTACAAGCATTAACAGCAGCATGTGGTATATTTTTATACATCTGACAGTGATAGAAAAAGTGCGGTGCGACCAACATCTCTCCACTCTTTGCTCAGCAGTCCCTCCAGTGATCAACAGAAAGCTTTCCTAGAGACATCAGTCATACGGCATGAGAGGTAGAGTGCTTATATCGGTAGCATAATTTTAGAGTTTAAGCTGACTTTCTAAGCTGTAGTGCATGTAATTCTAACTTATTTAATTCACACACACACACACAAAGTAAAGATCCGTTTTCACGCCTTTAGGTGTATCGGGAATATGGAAAGAGCGCCCATATTTTTACAGACCATCGGCAATAGTGCCAGGTAATGTGGTCAGCATTACATCGGCTGTCTTTACTTCCCCAGGACAGCCATCCTGGTACCCATTTTAGGCTGGGTCAACCTGCGACACCCCATGGCATAATAAAAATCCGCGCAGTCAGCAGTGGGTTTCAAAAACCCGAGCCGCCATCTTTCAGGAAAAGCCAGCCCACCAAATGAAGGACGCCAGAACACCACCAGAACCTGACAGCAGAAGCCAGACCTACAGAAAACCCCACCCATCCCGTTCCAGGCCGCCCCAGGCACATATGGCTGTCCTTTTCAGGACAATCAGGACAATCCCAAAAAACTGCAAGCCGCCCGCAAAGCCTATAGCCATTTCTGACATGATGAAGCAATACACACGATTTAACTCAGGCGAAAAAATCGCCACAAAAGAAACAAACTTTTACAGACTCATCGACAGTCAGAAATGGTCACCCGTCCTTGATAAAACAGGCCGTCAGGCGGTTAAAAAAGGACTACGCTTGTCATTTTTGTTTTCTTGACAACCAACCAACCAGTGGGTTTCGATCGCGGAACATTGGAATTACGAGTCGGACTCGCAACGCCTAAGCCACGGACACCACGCACTTATTTAATCATGTTTTGATTAATTCTGTATTGTACTAGTTAGCATTGATTACGTGTGATGTGGTTTTCCCTTTCAGCTGGTTCAGACACCCGAAGGTGAAGGAACATTGGAGGATAGTTCTAGCCTCAGCTTTTCTCTTTCTGCTTGGGATAGGTAGGTCTTGTGTGTGTGTGTATGTGTGCGCGCGAACATGCACATGCCACCATACTTGTTTGTGTGACTGTCTCTCCTTCCGTCTCTGTATCTATGTGTCTTTCTATCTGTTAGTCTCTGTGTGTGTCTATCTGACTTCGTGACTTTCTGTCAGGCAGATCTCTGTATCTGTCTGACTGTCTTTCTATCTATCTGTCTTTCTATCTGTCAGACTCTATGTGTGTCTGTCTACGTGACTTTCTGTCTGTCCATCTCTATATCTGTCTGTCTGTCACTGTTAATGAAATAAATAGCCTTCACAGTGTAAGACAGACTCATTGAGCACTGTACTATGGACACCTCTACCTCCATGACTGTCCCTCCGCCAGGATACGAAACTGCTAAATCATACGTGACTGTGCATCAAGACGAGGGCTCATACTGGTTAAGACCTGTGTAAACCTCGCCACGCTCATCCTAGAAACAGTTTCCCACTAGGGGCCATTCCAGCAAATATAGGATCAATGTTTTCTTTGAAGTTGGTATGCATCTGCCTGAGAGACCATGAAGCGATAATCTGCACACAACAAGCTAGATCTGTAAAATGGATGTTTTTGAGCTATTTTATAAAAGCCAGTTTGTCTTCTTCTTCTTCTTCTTCGCGTTGACCAGCTGTAAAATCCGGCAGAAAGTTCTGGCTGTTCATCAACTTCTGGACTCTAATCCTGTTCCAGAAATTGATTGTTGCATGCACATCTGTTTCACAGATCTGACTCATTTGCAAATAGACTGTTGGTTCCTTGTCTCTAAGGCAGATGTTCTCCAACTACAAATGAAGCTCTAAATTAGTCAACTCTTACGACATGCTTTTGGGTAGGCATGGGTCTACTCTTGTTTTCCCCGTAATGAAAGGGGTCCAACACTACCCCCGCTCACCAGAATATCCTGGGTAGAAAATGCATGATATACTCCTCATCTGAATCCTGTTAAACAATATGAGCTGTTCTGGTTTGAATGACACTTTTGTTTGCTACAATTTAATTCACCTCTTGTTTCTTCATAGCCTTGATTCTCACGGGCATAGGAGTAGCGATAACACCATCCAGAGGTAAGCATTCTTCTTTACTTGTTTACACCTCTTTGACTTCACCATTGTCACAAATTAAACATGCAAGCCCACCTCAAATTTGACTCTGCTACTCATCTTTCAGGTTTCATAATTTATCTATAAAGCATGGTATGCTCATATAGCCAGGTATATAACATAAATATTGAATAAAAACACAAAAGTACCATTGGTTTTGTTTTGCTCTGTGTCCTGGCTGTGACAAAGGCCCTAGAATGGCTGAATACTCAGGAATTCACCAATTCATGCTTTCTCTGTGACTCAGTGAGCATGCTACAAAAGATCAAGGCGGGGTATATACTCCAGGGTATATAAACAGTGGCTGCATCTGATACAGCACACATCATCATCAGTTCTCGTTATGCCTAGTGGCACATGAGGCTTCAGAGAGGACTTTCCATGCTTTCCTGTCTTCAGTGCAGTTTTCCATGTCAAAGATGCCGCACTCAGGTCACTTTCCATCGTTCGTCTCCATGTTGTTTTTGGGCGCCCCTGTTTTCTCTTTCCCTCTGGTGTCCATGTGAGAGCTGTTTTGGCAGGTATTTCAGGATTCATTCTCATAACGTGGCCAAGCCATTTCTACTTGGTTATCATACTGTCTAAAGTTTCTTGGTTTGTGACTTGAAGTAGTTTAGTGTTTGAGATTGTATCTGGCTAGAAAATTTTGATAATTCTACCTAGACATGTGTGGTGAAAGGTGGACAGCTTGTGTGCATTCTTTTTGGTCATTCTCCAGCATTCCGCTCCATAAAGAAGAACTGGCAAAATGATGCTCTTGTAGAGTCGCAGTTATATAGCACACAACATTTAGCAAAATCATCTCTATTTTTGTCCCAGGGTATGCTGGTGTGAAAGGCAATGAGAGAGCAGACACCCTGGCTGGCAGTGTGTCTATCAGCATCTATGGATAGGAGAGACATCATCAGTGCCATACGAGAGACTAAACACTTTGAGGCTTTCCTTTACGTGGAAAAAGATTTTTCACTGATTAGTCTGCATACCCTGGGTGTCCCAACTGGAGCGGCGAGACAGGAAAACCATGCGGGAGCCACCCGTCGTTAATCAACCAGAACAGAATGGGTGGTTATTAGCCTAAAAACACTTGGAGACGTATTCAAGAGGAGGGCGGAGCACACATGATCATGTCCAATTTGCGATGAAGATGATCCTTAAATGAACAATTCTCTGTGTAGAATGACTGTAAATGCACTTGTATACCTCGAACCAAGAAGAAGAAGAACACAGACTTCATGCATGATCTGAGCATCAAGGAGAATTGGCTCATAAACAGCATCCTTTCCCAGAAGTATTGTGATCATGTTAAACTTCATGGTGGCCTAGAGAGAGCCGCGATGGAGGACAAAGTTTCCAGAAGATGAGGCAGAGCTAGACCTCCATGAAGGTGGATACAAAAAAATTGAAGATACGTTGGCTGTGAAAGCACATAAGGCTGGAGAAATGGCTAGAGAAAGAGGGACCTTCAAGTGTGCCATTTCTCCAATCCGATAAGACATTTGATTAATCAACACAGAACAGGCATCGTCAGTCATTTCACTAAGTCAGGCTTTTGTAGAGAAGCTCGGAGCCCTGTGGACCTGTTGGGAGTACTATAATGCTGATCCTCACTAACCACATGAGTTATCCTATGACATGCATTTTCTTTTGAGACCACTACAGAATTGATTCAACATTTGTCGTTGTAACTTGCTCTCTCAGCTTGGGTCAGTAGATATGGTGTAGAAGATACTTTCTATATATCAAATCACCCTTGTTTAGATCTAGCCTGCAATATAGTCAGGACTTTCTGGCTGCGGCACACAAAGATTAGCAGTACTAGCACCGTGTTTAAAAAAAAAAAAAACTTTATTTCAGTGCTACTGTAATAAACACTTTGTGGTGAGTACTGGCATCATGTGTTTTCCCAACACTTTGTGGTGAATACTAGAACATTTTAAAGACACTATGTGGTGTATATCGAACTGATACATCCTGCAGGAGATCGCAGATTATGGAGAGGCATGATCGCCCACGCCAGTCAGCAAGGCACCTGATGATGATGATGTGGTGAATACTAGAACATTTTAAAGACACTATGTGATGAATACTAGAACATTTTAAAGACACTATGTGGTGAATACTAGAACATTTTAAAGACACTGTGTGGTGAATACTAGAACATTTTAAAGACACTATGTGGTGAATACTAGAACATTTTAAAGACACTATGTGGTGAATACTAGAACATTTTAAAGACTGGTATGTGGTGAATACTAGAACATTTTTAAAGACACTGGTGTGGTGAATACTAGAACATTTTTTTGACACTGTGCACTGGTTATTATCCCAAATACTAGAGAGCATTTTAAAGACACTATGTGGTGAATACTAGAACATTTTAAAGACACTATGTGGTGAATACTAGATCATTTTAAAGACACTATGTGGTGAATACTAGAACATTTTAAAGACACTATGTGGTTAATACCATCACCTTTTTTGTTTATAATTTAAAAAAAAAATTTTTTGTCGAACAAAAAAAAAAATCCTTACATATAGTCATAATCATGATTAGATAGAAGCTGTTTTCGTGCATTCATTTAATACTGTGTCTGGTTTTGTGTTACAGGTTATCATTGTCTGATCTTTGGAATCATTGGTCTTCTGTGTATCATACCTGGGGGTAAGTAGCTGTACTTTTGTATGTCTTACAGAGCAATAATTACCTAGCCGAATATCTTACAGAGCAGTAGTTATTAACCATGTGTCTATTAAAGCAATGTTTGTAGCCATATATCTTACAGAGCAGTAGTTATTAAACATGTGTTTATTAAAGCACTGTTTGTAGCTGTATATCTTTAGAGCAATGGTTTTTGGCCATTTTTCTGACAAAACACTGGTTATTATACAAATATCTTATACAGCAATGGTTTTTGGCCATTTTTCTGACAAAGCACTGGTTATTATCCAAATATCTTATAAAGCAATGGTTTTTGGCCATTTTTCTGACAAAGCACTGGTTATTTATCCAAATATAGAGCACTGTTTCTAGCCATATATCTTATAGAGCAATGGTTTATGGCCATATATCTTATAGAGCAATGGTTTCTAGCCATATATCTTATAGAGCAATGGTTTCTGGCCATATATCTTATAGAGCAATGGTTTCTGGCCATATATCTTATAGAGCAATGGTTTGTAGCCATATATCTTATAGAGCAATGGTTTCTGGCCATATATCTTATAGAGCAATGGTTTGTAGCCATATATCTTATATAGAAATGGTTTGTAGCCATATATTTTATAGAGCAATGGTTTGTAGCCATATATCTTATAGAGCAATGGTTTGTAGCCATATATCTTATAGAGCAATGGTTTCTAGCCATATATCTTATAGAGCAATGGTTTGTAGCCATATATCTTATAGAGCAACGGTTTCTAGCCATATTTCTTATAGAGCAATGGTTTGTAGACATTTATTCTGCACATGGTATTCCATAACATTTTACATTCATTCATTTCCCTTTATTCTTTCCTGAGCTCATCCATTCTCCTTTTTTCATCTGCTATCTGTCGAAGGACTGCCCAAGCCCAATTTTCGCAAAGCATTCTGTAAACATGATCAAGCCATCTCCATCTTCTTCCTTTGTGAAATATTTGCCGGTGATGTATGTTTTGTATCCTCCTTGTTTAATCATTCTTAAACGGGGGCAGATAGAGTGGCTGGCTCTGTACAACGTGATGGTGAACTGTTGCATGACAGAATGGATGTTGTAAGGTTCCTTTGGGAGTGGGTGAGTGGTGCATAGATCATCAATGTCTGAGATAAATGGTGCTGCCGAGAGTGACCAAGGGATTCTCACCAGCTCTCAACACACATGGGAAAGGCAAGATGGATATAAAGTCAGTTTGTTACTGGTGCCAACGAAATTGGAACCCTGCACTTGCTGGATTTAGCACTTATGGGAATGTTTTGAGGGCTGTAATGTCAGTTAATTCAACATTGTGATCTTATTTTGCCAAAATATTAGCAAGGTTCTCCTTAAACATTTATTTTGAAAAGATTCTAGTTAGTGAGTAATCTTCCGACTCTCACATTTTCCAACGCTCTCGACTGTAACCTTTTGTAACAACTCAACCACTGTTTTCAGGAGTTTTCAGCCAGTGAACGCGATGAAGAAAAAGAATTATTGAACAAATTCATGAGTGGTGTTAACATGGTAGGAGCCGCCATGGTGTAGCGGCTAGACTCTGGCCTGCAGATCTAAAGGTCATGGGTCCAGGTCCTCGCAGGGCTTGACCTGTGCTCCCAGTTTGACCCAGTCTTAAATGGGTACCAGCTAAAGTCCTGAGAAGTTGAAGCGGTGTGTTTGATGTTGATTACTATGCCCACCGAGTGCCGATTGGTCTATAAAATAAAGGTCTAGCCCTATATGCCCAACATGCCGGAAGGCACGGAAGGGGGTCCGTTACTTTACTTACTATTTGAAGAGCCTCCCCTCATCTTGGTTGGCTGGGTTTTACTTGCTTCTCTTTTTGACTTATCCATGGTTGGTTGGTTTTTGTGGCTATGGTTTTTACAGGATGAGGTAGCCAACCTCAAGCCCAACCCTACCTTTAGTCGCCTCTAGAATGTCTTTGCATTGGAACCTACAGGGGCATAGGAATAAAGGAAGGCCAAAAAACACATGGAGAAGAGAGCTGGAGAATGAAGTTAGAAAGATGGGGAGGACATGGGGAGAGCTCCCCGCAATGGCGAAGGATAGAACGACTTGGCGTGAGTTGGTTGAGGGCCTATGCTCCGTTGGGGGATAGAAAGGCAGAAGAAGAAAACTTTACTTACTACTTTATCAACATGTTGATGAGAAAGTGCTAGTAGAATGCTAAGAAGAAACATTCTTAACTAACACAAGTAATAATTGTTAATATTTTTTGTTCTTGCAGGTTATCACTTTATTTACATTTACTGCGCAGCTGTGGGAAGGCCAGGATATGAGTTTGAGAATCTGCCAGTGCTGCGATAGGGGTGCCTCATTGAAATAATTTGAGAACCCACCATTGCTACGAGAGATGTGTTCCATTGATATAATTTGAGAACCCACCATTGCTACAAGAGATGTGCTCCATTGATATAATTTGAGAACCCACCATTGCTACAAGAGATGTGTTCCATTGGTATAATTTAAGAACCCACCATTGCTATGAGAGATGTGTTCCATTGATATAATTTGAGAACCCACCATTGCTACGAGAGATGTGTTCCATTGATATAATTTGAGAACCCACCATTGCTACAAGAGATGTGTTCCATTGATATAATTTGAGAGCCCACCATTGCTACAAGAGATGTGTTCCATTGGTATAATTTAAGAACCCACTATTGCTATGAGAGATGTGTTCCATTGGTATAATTTGAGAACCCACCAGTGCTGTGATAGAGGTACCCCACTGGGTGTAATTTGAAAACCTACCAGTGCTACAATAGGATTCTTAACATTGTTTTGAGGAACCATATTTCTGTGACCTCCATTTCTTTCTTATTTGTGCATTCACATTCCTCCATTGACCACCATACAGCAATATAGGTTATAAAAAACATTTTAGTACTCTTTCGGACATCCAAAGAGAGGGACGTATTGCACGAGATATTCTTCATTCTGGGCAATGCAGCCCGTCAAGCATAGAGAGTTACAATATATTTAAGATATAGTTAGATAGCTTAGCGTTTTGTGGGATGTGTGGAGTTAATATAATGGACTTGAATAGTTTAAATATAAATGGGATAATGGCTACTTAACCCATCACTCCAAGAAAGCCATTTTTCCGGCTTTTAAGGATTTTTGCTGATATGAAGTCTTTGGACAATGGCCACTATGCCTGTATGAAAGCTTTTGTACTGGCTACAACTGCATACTGTGTAGATATAGTAGGTATGGCTTTATCTGCCAGGAAAATTTGAGATATTATGTGAGGTGGAAAAAAAATTGTGTTTCTAAAAATTGTGGTGTAATGTTATGATAATTTCATAATTACCTAACTTTACTAGACGGTGTTATGAGGTGACATATAGAAGTTCATCGGCGAACGAAGGTCCAGTTTGGTGATGCATACCTGTCAGTCCAGCGAGTGTATAAGTGGAGTGGGAAGTTTCAAGACAGCGTGACATCTGTGATGGGTTGTTCACGACAGGGTCAGGCATACCGAATTTTGACCCCAGAGTTGATGGCAGCCATTTTGAAACTCCCTACTCCAGACATACAAATACAAATGCTGGACTGACATACTGGCCCGTCATTTGCCGATAAATTAAAGAAATTTTTTCACCTTCTATGAATTTTTTAAAAACGGAGAGGGGGGGGGGGGGGGGGAATTGATTGCTGCTTCTCTTAGGTGCATGTCAAAAGTGTTATGACCATCTTTAAACTGTCATTGTGACATCATCATGTTCATCTGTGCTGTTATGACGTGTGCTTAACATTCTTGACATCCTTTAACAATAATATTGATAGGTTACAAGACAACAGTGTGGTTCTTATAATTTCTATTACATTTTTAAGGTTTTCATTTCAAGCCCACTTGTGTATAAACAAATACATTTACATTAGAGAAGGAAGATATATTTGAGATATGGCTGGCTCTTCATTTTCACCGGCTGTAAACTCTGGCAAAAAGTTATGGTTGTTTGTTCACATCTGGACTTAAGTCGTCCTGTTCCAGAACCTAAGAGTTGTATGCACATCCATTTTACAGATCTGACTTATTTGTATGTAGACTGTTGGTTCCTTGTCTCTCAGGCAGATGCTCTCCGACTTGGAAGGAAGTTTCCAGTTCTTCAACTGTTACGACATGCTTTCGGGTAGGTAGTGGGTCTGTTAATGTTTTTTCTATTATAAGGCCCAGGAACCCACACAGGAAGTATAGTAGGTTAAGTAGTAAAAAAAAGTAAAGATCCCTTTACACGCCCTTAGGCGCATCGGGCATATGGGAAGAGCACCCATATTTTTCAGACCAATCGGCACTTTGTGGGTAATGTGGTCAGCATTACGCCGGCCGTCTTTACTTTCCCAGGACAGCCCATCCTGGTACCCATTTAAGGCTGGGTCGACCTGCGACGTCCCATACCACGAAAAAAATCCACGCAGCCCACGCAGGTTTCGATCGCGGTACGTTGGATTACGAGTCAGACTCGCAACGCCTTAGCCACGGACGCCGCAGGTTAAGTAGTAGCAGTTATAATGGGCAGTTAAAGTAGAAAGTGTCTAGGATAGAGAATCAGACCAAAACTAGACTACGGTAGGTAACAACCGTTCGGGATACGAGGAGTTAAAATACTTACAGCTGAGTTTGTTAGTGTAATAATTACATGAGGTAAAAGTAATTCATGTAAATTCCAGTATGTGTGTAAATGTGGGTGTGATGTTAGATGTAGAACATTGTGGAATTATGTTCAGTCATGTTGGATGTAGAACATGTGTAATTATGTTCAGCCATGTTGATGTACACATCTCGTTACTGAAATACAGGGTTTGATTATAATTATTTCACAGATATGCACATAATTATGTTTCTTCTTCTTCTGTTTGGTTGTCAGAGAATACGGGAAAAACACAGGGTTAGTTAGAATTTTTTATAAAAGTGGTTTTGTCAATACACAGAGTTCTTCTTCTTCTTCACTGTCCAAGAAGTATGGAAATTACGGGGTATGGTGAGAATTCTTTCTAAAAATGGTCACAGGCATGCACATAATTCTTCTTCTTCCATAATCAAGAAGAAGGGTGAAAGAATAGGGTTTGATTATAATTCTTTCTTAAAGTTGTCTGATGCCTAAACAGACTTCTTTTTTTTTCTTGGTTGTTCAGAAATTGTGTGGGGGGGGGGGGGGGGGGGGGAATTGTAATTCTTTCTAAAATGGTAATTTTTGTTTAGAGAATTTTCATTTTTTGGCTGTCCAGTAAGTGGTGATGATGTGTGTGCTGGGAATCATTTCTAACAGAATGGTCTTGTTTAAAAAGGATTTTGATTTTAAAGTTAGTGAGTTAAAATTATTTGTGGGAAATACTTGAATTGCCCGTTAGGAGAAATATGTGATTCTTTTATTGGTTAAATTCTATTATATACTATGAATTGTCTTTGAAAATCTTTGCATAAAATTCTGAATATCTATTTTTGCTTTGTGGCTCTTGAACTGTATACATACAGAAAAATCCCTATGTAGTAAACAAATTTTTCCCAAGTCTTGAAATTTATACATATAGAGAAATCTAAGTGTAAATAAACATAATTTCTTCTTATTTTTGCTAATTCTGAATAGTCCACTAAGAGAACCCGGGGGCTCTTGAATTATAAACATATTGGGAAACATATAAACATATATATAAAACAGTATTTTTTTCTCTATGCATACACATTTTTAACGTAACTTTTACTTAATACACAAAGACTTTTGTGTGCAGTTTAAAAATAATTAAATTATATGTGTTCAAAAGAAAAAGAAAACAATTTAGTATTCAGTGCAATAAATGTGTTTAGAAAACAATTCTAAACATAAAAGCTTTAATGTAAAATTTCAGCCAGAATAAATATTTTGATGCTAACATTTGGGCGGTAACATTCTTGATGTTAAAATTCCATTGTAAGTGAATTAAAAAATTGGTTTCCGTACTGTGGTACCAAAGCCTTGCTGTGTTATATTCCCAAAGACGGCAGTGGGTTCCCTGTAGCCAGTCTTCATTGCAGCTGCGCCACAGAATTTAATTAAAAGTACGTTACTTTAAGGAAAAAATTGGATGAAAAGGGTCATTTTGTATGTTAATTTAACCTTCTTCCACCCAGCTGTTGTCAATAACATTGTCAGAAAACTCAAGTTCCATAACACGTAATTTTCTAACATGTTGTCACATGGAAGGTTTGTTACGTTGCGTGATTGGATAATTGGTAATCAGATATTACCAGATTTCTAGATATATTATATACAACTTTTTGATATATTTTTTTTTTCAAATTCGAACCTATGGCATTGGAAACCGGAGAACCATTCAGGATGTGGCTAGTATCTGTCACTGTCACTGCTGTCTATTTTACAACTTTTTAGGGCAGTGTAGACAGGAACCTTGAGCCTGAGGTTTTAGGGCCGCCTGGCTAGTACTGTTACCACGGACTGTGCAGGTTAGGATGTTTAAATTTGCCACCCCTAGTATCAGCTAGTACAAATAAAGGAAGAGGACACTGTATTGGGTGCCTCCTGAGATGAAGCCGGCAAAACAATCACAAGACAGTCACTGAAATAGAAAACAGGAATTGGGGTGCGCAGACGCCTAAGAGAAACCCTATGATGAGAGCAGATACAGGTGCCAGATAGGATTTTGTACAGATTTTTTAAAAAACTGCAGTCAAAAGAGTGCACTGATGTCGACTGCAAGCCCTGTGTGATGTGCACTGGCCCAACAGGATGTTGAATAAATGTATAGAAAGTTTCCTGTGGCTGTTTTTTTGTTGTTTCATTTCCTGATGGCTTGCTGCTTCAGGTGGCATGTGCTTGGTTAAGAATGAACAGAATCTCCACAGTTGTTTTAATTGGTTATCTCTGTGTTTGTGTTAGACAACCAGGCAACATATTAGTTTTCCTTTCATGTGTAGATACAGATATACATACACTTCTTACACATTATATATATATATATATATATTACACCACATCTATGGTTAAGCCATAGAGAACTTGCTTCATAATTCCTAGGGGCCCGGTTCGATTCCAGCTGTAAATGATTTGGTGGTAGACTCTTTTGCATTGATTTCAGCAATACTCTTAAGATCTGGCCCTTCAGAAAACAATGGCAAACTAATGTCAAATTGCCCAGTAAAAGTAAAAACAGCCAGCAAGTGCTGGACTATCTGTTTATTTTTCCCCCAATTTTTATTTGAATTTAAAATTCAGTTACAAATTCAATAAATGCATGATATAATGAATAAAACGTGGCATTCTAAATGCAGGACATACATGTATGCACAACATAGATTTCTCCCA